AATGTGATAAAAAGTTATCGCATCCTATTGATACGATAAAAAGAAGTTATCGCACCTATATAATTCGAGAAATGAGTTTTATCGCACTCTTGTGATGCGATAAGAATGACTTATTGCACCTGTGTGATGCGACAAGTTGGGTTTATCACACCAGTGTGATGCGATGAGTTGAGGTTCTCGTACCAGTGTGTTGCAAGGAGATGGGGTTATCTCACACATGTGATGAAAGAAATTTATATAATCTTATATATGATGTGACAAGTTTTACTCATGATGTGTTTATCAAACTATTGGATATTTGGATGAAATAAAGGAGGTTTATTATATCAAAATGATGTATATTTGTTATTATTACAAATATGAGTTCATAAATGTGATTTGGTGATTATTCACCCTGTGATAACATCAATGAGATTTCTCACTAGAGCTGAAGGTTTAACCCTCATTTTGTGCTTTAAAATGTGCATTACAGGTCGGACACATCCAGATGACAAGGGGAAGGAAAAATTGTGAAGTGATATTTATATGCTTGCATGGGTTATTAGGCTAGCATATTATTCTTTTATATTTGAATACTTGTTATGTATTCATGTGTGGTATAGTGATTTGTTCAAACAATTGTTAGTTATTTTGTAATATAGCTTTTGTAAGATATTAAGACGAAATATGTAAATTATATTTCATTGTTTATATGAAAATGTGATCTTGGGTGTTACATCCCAGTATACACCTCTTCTTGATATGTCACCTTTATAACTAAAATACACCTTTTATTGATATGTCACTCTTATTCCATCACATGATATAAACATATTAAAGTCCCACAATTATACCAATTATAGCATCAAAAACAGTTTTATAATTAACAACTCATATAAAGAACCTTACGGTTCTACACCAGTTTCCAAATAAGGAAAGTTGATAAAATAAAACTTACCTTATGTGTTCACGTAGATGAAAATGAAATAGCAATAATCTTCCACGTAGAAATCACAGAGTCAAATTTGTTCTTTCCTCCTTATGTTTTCTGTTTGATCGCACCAAAGAACACACATACACACACATAAAAGTTTCACCAACCTTTTCTTTTTAAACAAACATCATCCCAATGAGATAGGAGAGTTTATCTCATTATAGTAAACAATTAAGGAAAGAGGCACTGAAGCTTTAAAGGAGTTTTAGCACTTAACCAACTTAAACCCCTCAACTTACCAACTTTATTCAAAAACCACCCAATTTTTTATAACCAAATAACCTGATTATCACACATCATTACCAGACCTTGGGTATGTTTTTGTAATTAAGTTCAGTTGTCCAATTTCCATATTAATAAACACAAAGCTAGTGATATATGACAACTTGATCCCTCCTTGGGCTTTGATGCCTTGAGCAGTGTGACGGGCTGTTCATGGTTAGGGCCGACCCTGATGATCTTCTTTCGGCTAGATGACAAATCAATCCGCTTTGGTGATGATCTTGACCTCATTTCAAATAGTCTTCAATTTTGTTAAAAGCAATTTGCTCTTGAATCAATACATACAGTTATAATAATTTTACAAGTAAAAATCCTACCTTTAACTATATCCAGTATATAAGTTATATGTTGGATTTACCAACAATAGAACATTATGAAATTACCTCGGATGTGGGCTAAGAGTTGGTGAACATATGAACCTTTTTTCGATAGAATAATCAATCGGATCAAGGTCTGTTGAAAGCTTTGATGATGATCAACTACATATCCGATGGATGATATATCCGATACCTAAAATAGGAGGATCAAATGATATCAAGTTAAGGTAATATCCAATGAGTGAAGTTCATCGGATATATATCTTGTGAAACAAGGTAATCAAGGATGTTTCTTTCCAAGTGTTTGATTAGATGTTGTATTCATTATATACAAATCCGATGATTGAGACCAATATAAAAGATCTGCAAAAAATCCATACTCTAATAAGTACGAGAAAAGAAGTTCAAGAAAATTCAAACCTGAGAAAAGATGGATGAGAAGAAAGAAGAGAAGAAGGATGATGCTGAGATCCTTAAGTATTACAATTATGGCAAACCCTGCCATTATGCCAGGGAGTACAGATCAAAGAAAGTTAAGAATTTGGATTACTATTCTAGAAAGATACAACTTGCAAAGAAGAAGGAACAAGGCCAAAGCTTAATGGCAGAACATGAGAATTGGTTGGATGAAACCACCTCTTCTGATGATGAAGGAGCCCATTTCTTTCCAATGGGTTCTATGGGTAAGTCTGGATCCATTGCATATTCTAACTCTGAACAATCTGGTTCAGAGATATCAGAGTCTGAATCTCAGGTACATCATTCTCTGGAAGCTGAATTTAGGGATATATATCTAAAATGAATGAGGATTTTCTTGATGTGAAGGAAAAGCTAAAAGAATAGAGCAACTTGGTTAACATATTTAGATTTGAAAAAAAGATCTCTAAAGCCATGTTTGAAGATTTAATAGGAGAGATAAATTTTTGAGAAAGAAAAATCTAAATTTCAAGCCAAGATCTCTGAATTAGAAAAAGATTATGTTAATGTGGGATACGATAATAAGAATTACTACAAGATGATTTTTTGTCCAGAGAAATATTTGATCTTTATAGAAAGATTAAATGTGAGGATTTGAATTTCAAGATAGGGCAGACTGAACAGACTTTATATCTGCTTACTGGTAATCCCAAGATTATCGGATTTTACATGAGTCTTGGTATGAATGAACAAACTATTCTAAGGAAAACACCTGCTAATCTTTATAATCTTTCAAAGATGAATGTTCATGATACCAAGGCTGAATGTTCTAACACAAAGCTTATATTTGAAAATCCGGTGGAAAAGATTCCTATCAAAGAAAGTGAAGTTGCGTTGTCGTTCATCTTAACCACTCTTTCCATCAAAATTAAAGAGTTAAAACATTCATTTGCTCCGTTTTCTACAATATCACATGATGTGTTGGTCTTGAAGAAAGCTCTTGACCATGTAGATGGTTTTTTTTTCATCAAAATATTGTGAGCATGGGAAGACAAGCTTTTAATTTCTTGCATAATTCCTTCAAACTCTTGTGGCGTCCCTGACTTAGATACAACCCAAAAAAAGATCTGAAGTGGATATCAATATACTTCTTCATGAAATTGGCGTACATGTGTCTAGCACATTATTGATGCTCAACAAATGGTATACCTCTTTAACCGCTTCAACAAGTCCGTGTGTTAACACAATGTAATCAACTAATTAAAATTACACATGTATAATAGATTAGCAAGTGTGTGCAGTTAATTATTAGCATATTACGTTATGTTATTCTGACATCAATTTTACCCTTAGCCCATTAGTCAATACAATCTCCTGCATTAAAAAAAATCGAAAAACCACTTCCAACTCTCTTTGTTTTCAAACTCCACCATAACCAACGCAAGAGGATGCATTTGGTTGTTACCATCTTTCCAATCACACTTAACAACTCTCCCTTGTATATGGTTTTTAGAAAACATCCATCCAAGCCAATGATCTCCTACATCCCGACAACCAACTTTCTTTGATACCCTTAAAACACATAAGATCTTTGAAAATAATTTATATTATTTGCCCCTACCTCGACACTAATTTTAATCGTTGATCCCAGATTACTTCTTCTAATTTTTTTGCCGTAGTTCCATGACTTTAAGTAATGCTCAATGAGAGTGGTTTTCACTTCTTCCCACTGCTTTGATCTTAGTCCTTTGTCATTTATTTAGGTGGTGCTTGATTCACATAATGAAATATATCTGAATTGTAATTTGTCAAAAGAATTGTAATATGAAGGAATTAAAATATAATTCAACAGGTTTGACCATGCATTTAGTTGGCATACATTGAAACGAAATATGTTGGTTTGATTTGCTTAATATAACCTCAAAATCGTAATAAAATAATGATAGAATCCAAAATACTCCTTTAATTATGACATTTTCTTATTTTACGACAAGGATAGTGGTGGTGTTGACGACAACGATGGTGGTGGTAGCAACGGTAGTGGTGGCGACAATGATGGTGGTGGTGGCAATGAATGCAATGATGAATTGGAATTCCGTACTAAAAAACTCAATTAATTTAAATCTGCTACATGTGAAATTGGAATTCCGTACTAAAATTCAAATAATAAACCACACATATATGAATAGAACTTGGTCAATCGAGTTGATCATCTCAATTCTTTCAGATTCCATCAGATTCCGACAAACCTACATGTTTGGTTTGCACAATGGAATTTTGCGGAATTGGAATCCATCAAAGCAAATTTGACTTTGAATGAACTCGAATGAAATTTGATAGAGTTCAACCACGTGTTTTGTTGGCAGAAATTTCAGATGAAATCCCTCAAAAGAATTGAAATCTACATATTTGGTCGGCATAATGTAGCTTTTGAAATTGAAATGAATAAATGACCAAAATACGGGTTATTATATTTTCACATTATTTGCTTAAATTATAAATATTTTGGAACATGTTTTGTAAAATAAAGAGTATATTTATTTGCTGATCTGTCAATTATTACAAGAATTTAGTGATAACGACTCTGATCCTTTGTATCCGAGTTATGTTAACTAGATTAATGTAATTTAATTATTTTTTAAATGACTAACACTACCAAACAGGGCTACTTTTCCGGCAGACAAATCCGCCGGAAAAGGCGCCGGAAATAGTCTTTATTCTAGTAGTTAATAAATAAATGATAAAACAGGTTAATTCGTTGTGATCAACCTAACTAGCCTATAAAATCAATACAAAATACATGAAAATATCAAATTTTAGGTATGTTCTTGGTACGTAGTCAAAATCCCATAAGTTTTGGTTCAAATTCTGTGATCAGCCTAACTAGTCTATATATAGAATCAATGCAAAGAACATGCATGAAATAAGAAGCAACAAAGTCATTAATAACCCATATCATATGCCACTTTGTGGCATACCATCTAATCTCTTAAGAAATGGAAGATGGATACACAAGAGGAATCTTGATTTTGGCATGTTCAATCTTTACATGGATCTTCCTTCACAGATGGAGCCAAAGAACCAACAAAGGCCCGAAAACATGGCCGCTCGTTGGAGCCGCTATTGAGCAGCTAATGAACTACGACCGAATGCACGACTGGCTTGTCAACTACCTAAGCAAGTCGAGCACCGTTGTGGTTCCAATGCCCTTCACCACTTATACTTACATAGCCGATCCAGCTAACGTAGAACATGTTCTTAAAACCAACTTTGCTAACTATCCAAAGGTCTCTATTATTTCTATGTACCAAGCAATACAGCTTACTGATTTCCCCTTTTTGATGTAGGCATGAAGTTTTCTTTTTTGGGTTTTTGAAGGGTGACGTGTATCATTCGTATATGGAGGTGTTGCTTGGAGATGGCATCTTTAATTCAGATGGTGAGAACTGGAGGAAACAAAGAAAGACGTCAAGCTTTGAGTTTGCATCTAAGAACTTACGAGACTTTAGCACAGTGGTTTTCAGAGAGTATAGCCTCAAGCTCTCTTCTATTCTAAGCCAAGCAGCTTTTCATCACCAACAACTAGACATTCAGGTATTTTTGATCAATGATTTTTAATCCGAGGGGTAGAAACCTGATTGAGCGAACCATGTAACTATTTAATGATTGATGTTTTTGTTGTAGGAACTATTGATGAGGATGACTTTGGACTCTATATGTAAGGTGGGATTTGGAGTAGAGATAGGGACATTGGCTCCCAACTTACCCCATAATCGGTTTGCCAAAGCGTTTGATGCTGCAAACATTATAGTCACTCTTCGGTTCATTGATCCGCTATGGAGAGTAAAGAAGTTCCTAAGGGTGGGTTCCGAAGCTGTTCTTGATCAAAGCATCAAGATGATTGATGATTTTACGTATTCGGTCATCCGTAGAAGAAAGGCAGAGATAGAAGAAGCTCAAGAGGTTTTAAACAATGATAAAGTAAGTAATATAACTACTTTGCTAATGGTTTTGGTTGTTTGACGTGGAGGGAAAAATCTAAGGGAATTTAATCTTATTTCGTGTGTATTTTTATCAGATGAAGCATGATATATTATCACGATTTATCGAGTTAGAAAAAGACCCTGAAAACAACATCAATGACAAAAGTCTAAGAGATGTTGTATTGAACTTTGTGATTGCGGGACGAGACACCACAGCGACGACCCTTTCTTGGGCTATTTACATGATCATGGTTCACGATCATGTTGCAGAGAAGCTGTATGCAGAGCTCAAAGCTTTTGAGCAAGATCGTGCAGAAGAAGAGAACGTAACTTTGAAACATTGCGAAACAGAAGATCTTGAATCTTTCGACCTGAGAACAAAACAATTTGCTCAACTTATGAGTTACGATTCGTTGGGCAAATTGTATTATTTGCATGCTGTCATCACAGAAACTCTTCGGTTGTATCCTGCTGTACCTCAGGACCCAAAAGGAATCTTGAATGATGATATTTTGCCTGATGGAACGAAAGTAAAAGCAGGAGGTATGGTGACATATGTACCTTACTCAATGGGACGAATGGAGTACAACTGGGGTCCTGATGCAAATGAATTTAAGCCCGAAAGATGGATAAAAGATGGTCTCTTCCAAAACGCATCTCCATTCAAGTTCACTGCATTCCAGGTATATATATAATTCAAACAGTAAAACCCATGATTAATTTTGTGTGACAGTTTGTTAGTTTTCTTGAATGCAGGCTGGACCAAGAATATGCCTTGGCAAAGACTCAGCATATCTGCAAATGAAGATGGCTCTCGCCATTTTGTGTCGATTTTTCAAGTTCGAATTGGTGGAAGGGCATGTGGTGAAGTACAGAATGATGACAATTCTGTCGATGGCAAACGGATTAAAGATTACAGTTTCAACGCGTTCGTAAGCAAAAGGGTCATCTCCCTTTTTTGAGTCATCGGGTTACTTAACGCAGGAATGTTTTCCGTAATTATTTTACTTAAAGCACAGGGACGAAATCTGTAAGATGTCCTAACCATACCACCACCAGGTGCAGATTTAAGAAGGTCCCATGCCATGCCATGCCACCACTCAACTTGTTTGTTGTAGTGTAAAAAACTTTACCATTTTTAATGGTTCTACCACCATGATTTGTTTGTTTTGTGCTATCCGTGCCACCGGTTACATAGATTCCTATTTCCGCCAAAGCATTTCATCTCTATTATCAATTTGGGACGTCAGTTTGCCCGCACTTTGACTAATCCCGTACGGCCCTCAAGTTAACACCTACACAAACCCCCGATAGCCTTGAGAGGACTCAAACCGGTGACCGTTGAAAACAAACACTTTATCTTGTGTCTATTTTGCCAGCATTCCATAAAGCTAATACAGTATAATACTCTCTCAATCCCAAAATAATTGTACACATTTCTTTTTTTAATTTGTCCTAAAATAATTGTCCAATTTTGAATAAGTGCTTATGTTCCCATTCAACCCTTAATTATGAGATGAAGAAATTAATTACTTCTTTGTTATTAAGGGTAAGACTGGAATTCAGTTCAACAAAAGTGTAATAATTATACTTTTCTAAAACTTTACGTCTTTATTGTTTTCACTACTAGAAAACCAGGTATCAGCGACGACTATCAGCGAGGGAATTTTTCCCTCGCAGATCAGCGAGGGAATTTTTCCCTCACAGATCAGCGAGGGAATTTTTCCCTCGCAGATCAGCGAGGGATCAGCGAGGGAAATGACAAAAAACACATTCCCTCGCTGATCTGCGAGGGAAATTTTCCCTCGCTGATCCCTCGCTGATCTGCGAGGGAAATTTTCCCTCGCTGATCCCTCGCAGATCAGCGAGGGATCAACGAGGGAAGTTCCGAAAAAACTAATTCCCTCGCTAATTTGCGAGGGATCAACGAGGGAAGTTCCGAAAAAACTAATTCCCTCGCTGATCCCTCGCTAATTTGCGAGGGAACTTTCTTCTACAATTTCCCTCGCTG